CCAAATACATCATGAATGGCCACAGAAAGTGTTTTCTGACTTCATTATGCTATTTGTCATTTCTTCAATCTAATGTTACTTGGCCTTGTTTGGTAGATCAGATTATGGGTGGGCATCAATCCGGCCGAACCGATGAAATCGGCTTAAACAAACCATAATTACCGATTTGGTTTGGTTTTGACCAAAAAAAAGTCAAGCGGTTTAAAAACCAAACCGGGCCATACATAGTTTGGTTTGGTTTGGTTTTGAGGTTTTGTAAACTGGCTTAAACCAAATTGGACAGTTTATGTGTATATTTATTTATTTATATTTTATTTTACATGTGTAATACTGTAATTAATTAATAACTATATATGAATATTTGAATTGAGCTATATTAGTTAGTGAAATATGAAGTTTTATGACATTTTGAGCTTTAGGATGGTTTCGTACTCTAGAAAATGATTTATGTATAAAGCAAGTTGTGAATTTTTTTGTTATAATTGGGCTAACAATGTTGAAAAAATGCAAAACGAAAGAGAATTGGGCTTAGGCCCAAACCGGCAGAACCAATCCGTCTTAAATTGATTTGGTTTGGTTCGGTTTCCTTTATAACTTTTATCCAAAACGAACCAAACCAAACCGTCATATTGTAATTGGTTTGGCGGTGGTTTTGAGGTGAAACTGATCCAATCCGGACCGTGCCCACCCTTAGATCAGATTGTACTATTCCAATTAAATTGAATTAATATCTTCACCGTCATTTGGCGTGTTTTACAAATTATATCTTTAAATGGAACTCATATAACTTGGCTAGCTTGAACTCAATTCCTCTAATTCAAATCGAGTCATCAAATAAGGAATGAAATTTAGATGACTTCATTATGTTATCTAGATGTGGCTCTGAATGTTGACTTCATTATGTTATCTAGATGTGGCTCTGAATGTTATCAAATTGGAGACGACATAACATTATGGTTGCCACGTGATCATCATCTCTTATTATATTAGTTAGTATTCATCTTTAAATAATTAAAAGGTAAAGCATATGAAAAGTTATGTTTCTTTTTGAAGGGGCAAGAATAAAGAGCACATATGCATTACTATATTAGAAAGGCAAAACACTTCTTTCTACAACGTTACTTATCCAATACAAAAAAAACCCCTTAAGACCTTTCACCACGAAAGGCCATTGTTCTTCCTTGAACATAAACCATGTACGTCATATATATTAACATAATCAGGTTTTTCTTTACTGGCTTAGCTAGCCGTAATTAGAACATAATTAACCTGTCTAACCACGACACTGATTAATTTTCGAGCAACCACGTTCGTAGGGGTTAGCGGTTTTACGTTCACCATTGCTGCCACTAGGACCACTACAACCAGGGTGCGGCCCTCCTGGTTTTAGGCATGGGTCAAGAACTCCAGGGTTAATGCGGGTCCCCCCAGCTTCCACTCCTTCGTTCAGCGCCACCATGCCAACAATGAGCAAACAGAGGATGAATGTCTTCATGCTTGAAATCCCCATGATCTTACTTAATTTGGCTCCAATTGTTGTATTGTATTCAATATTGGCTTAAGAGACACTCAATTTATATGAGTTTTGGTTGTCATTCAGTTTTTTTCTGCAGTTTTGTTCGCTGTTCATCCTATTTTTTGTTTCTAAAGTTTAGCATTTACAAATGTAGACTGTTTAAACGCTAGCAATCATATGTGAAGATAGTTGAAAGTAAGAGGCGCTTGTATTTTCTAACGTCAATGATAAAGCACTTATCTCTATATTCGCGGTTAAAAAGTTTTTAGAAGGCCTAGAATCTCTCCTTATAGATGTGTATCTACAAGTATCACCACCTACAGTTTTCTTAAGAGATCAATGGATTACATATTGCATAAAAATGATAGGCTTCCCTTCTGTATGAAATTGAAATTATATTCAATCACCAAGACAAAATAGGATACCTCATATGGGCCTTATATTTTTTTCTTGTCTTGCAGGGCCGATAAGTAGATAAAGGAGAGCCCAAAGAACTCATAGCCAAACTACCTGAACCAAACCACTCAATAGTGGTCTGGTTTAGTTTAGTTTGATTTCTCCCGTGATTTTAATTCAAATGAAGTCGGACTGCGCCCACCCATAATTAGGTGTGAGAGACTTTCAAGAAGACTTAGTGAGTATTGATCAATTACACTTGGCAATATTGTTTACAGGAGAGATTCATATTTAATAAAAAAATCATGGACTTGAAAAAAGTGCGTGTCTGGAACTCAAAGATAAAGAACTTTTTGCACATGAGATTATCAAAATAGAGAGCTTTTTTCTTTACAATGGCATTTTCGTTCAGTTCGTTTTTTACTTAAAGATAACGCTTCCTTGTGAGCACGTCTCCACTGTGTGAACATCAGATTAAGCAAAACATTTTAACTTGTTCTTTGGAACATCAGAATATCTTTCTTGGCATGAAAAGGAATTGAAAAGTTATACAGATGTTAATGTTTTGGCTTGGTCTTGCGTGTTGCACAGATAGTGAAGTTAGCTTTGACAATTTGGTATATGAAAGCAGAGTTGGAAAAGCGAGAAGGGTGGATGTATGGTTCATGACCATTGCTATAAATTGAACTTCTAATTGACTTAGTGAAGCTACCAACTACAAAAAAAAATTGAAAAAACACAACCTAAAGACTAATTTACAAAACTTAACTCAAAGATCCTACTGTGAACCTAAGTTCCTACTATGAATCCATCAAAACCCTTCAAGCTCTTAATCTTCTCTGAAGCACCATCCTTATCATAAATCCCTTGCAAGGCATAGAAAAAACCCTCCCATCCTTCCTCTACTCCTTCTCTACTCAGGGCTGGCAATGCCCATTCCACAATTTCCTTAGCAAAGCCATCATCAGAGAACAAGATCTCAGTGATTGGGGATATGGGCAGCAACTGAATTCCAAGCCTCATTTCTTTTGCCTCTGGAGGAACAAACCAAAGTCCACTGTCTCTCTTGTTTGCCCATAAAATTCCCACAATCCTATTTTCCTTTGTGAACTTTTCCTATAAAGTGTATCTCCTCCTCTTACATGCCACCACATTTGAGCTGCTTGAATTTCCAGAGATGTAAGCATTGATCCACTATTGAAAAGATTGGTGTCTCCATAGGCTAAGCCCATCAATGCAGCTGAGTAGTAAGCATTCACTGCCTCACTTGTGCTCTCTTGGTCCCTTCCATCTCCAAATTCAGTCAGTCCTCCAGCCCATGAGTGCAGTTTGTACAGATCAAAGCATCTCAACCGCGGATAGTTTGAATTCGATTGGTTGCCAATGTTGATGAAATCTGCTGCAAGAGAGTAAGCTTGAGGCTTGTACTTGCTCCCCCATGCACGGTCAATCTTTGCAAGCACTGAAATACCATAAACAAAATATCCAAGATGATAATGGTGATCATTATAAACTCCAAACCCAAAATCTGCACCGCGATCGGTTGATCCTTGTTGGGTGACAAGTCCACCCCATTTAGGATCATACAAAAAACCATTCCCACTTAAAGTACCATCCAACCATGGCTCAATGGCGTCCGCCAAGTATTTCCTAATTGCTGGAACCACATCAAGACAATCCACATCCTCAGCAATCAAAGCCAACCTTGCTGCTCTGGCAACCAATTTCCCATAAAAGTATGGCGATTCAGTTGTTATTGGCGTCGAACTAAGAGCCTTAACATGCGCAGAAACAATTTCAGTGTATGAGGCTTGTTTGACACCTCCGATTGAATGCCAAGTGACTGATATATTATGAGATTTCAACTCCCTCAAATCGCCAACGATGCCAACCAGATCGCCATCAATACTCTTGTACTTGAAATCCTCCAAAACAGTAGCATTAGACAGAAGGTGAAGATGGAGAGGATGAGCTAGCAAAAGCAAATCTCCCCGTCCATACTTTTCCCATTTATATTCCAGAGTGAATGGCTTTGTGAACACAGCTTCACCAGAAACGGGCTAAGCAGAACTAAACCGGTCAAGGATTGCCACGTATTTTGGATCAGAACCCGGCACCAATGCAATCCGAATATTCCCAGAATAGCCATCAAAAGTTAAGGTTGATGGGCTGCTTCTAATCAAATTAGCTGGGGAGGAGGTGTACATAACCCATGTTTGATTGTTGTCAAGCTGGACGGTGAACTTGGTCTTTGAGTTGCTCGAATAGGATTCGAGGATTGTGTGAATGGTTGAGATAGAAACCGCAATGGGGCTCGACACATTGCAGGTGACATAGGGGCATTGTGCAGGTTATTGTTTATGAGGCATTGTGTTTAAAACTTAGAAGAAAGAAAGAATTATTAGAGGATAATCAGGAGATATATGCATCAAGGATAGCAGATATTATACATTCAGAGAAAAGTGGAAAGATAGGAAGAGATTCATGCATCCAATTCTTATTAAAACAAACAAAGATTTGAGAGATCTTGTCTTTACGAAACCTCTACCTGTGATGACAAAATTGGATTGCCTTGATCACAAAAAGGCTGAAAACGCAAAAGATATTATCCTAAATGTATCGCTTAACTCATAACATTCGGAGATGCTAAAGTGTGTAGCCGCCCGGCTATACCCTGTTCTGTGAAAGCGTTAAGCGTACAACAGCGAGCATACTCGTTAAACAAATAGTATAGCCGGGCGGCTATATTATTTAAATGGTATAGCCGTATTAAAATATATTATTTAAATGGTATAGCCGTTCGGCTATACCCACTGGACGGAGGTCCTTCTGAATAGCCGCGCGGCTTTAAATGTATAATATATTATTTAAATAGTATAGCCGCCCGGCGGTACTCGTAAAATATATTTTTAAAACAGTATATCCTTCCGGCGGTAGGGTCAAAATATTTTATTTAAATAGTATAGCCGAACGGCTATACCCTTAAAATATTCGAATATACATTGGAGGATAGGAAATGACGATTCAGGCCTGCAAAATCCCCAAATGTTTTCGACGAAATACAAAATCCCTAACCCTAACTCTTCAAAACGTCGTCGCCAGCACTCCTACGGTGCCATAGCCGCCGTGGCACCTCTGTCAGATGAGTAACAAGAGGGGAAATGCACTACCATGGTCCCAATTTGTCCAAACGTAGGTAAATACTAGCTTCTGAACTATCAAATTTGTGCCTATTATATCTAACTGGTTTAAAAGATCGTATCTTTTTATTTTTATATTCCAAATATAGAATTTCGTCTTGATTTGGTTTCCTTCTTCTTGTTGTTGTTATTTTGGCTATGTTTTATGTGATATAAATTCAATAATTTATTGGAACCATGAAATTAAAGAAAGATTACCCAGTAACACTCCTCACAGCAATGGCAGAGCCATGAAATTAATTAAAGAAAATTAAATTTAAAATGTTTGAATTGATGAAACCAAGAAGTGAGTTTTCAGATGACCTCTGGGGTCTTTTAGTTTTAAGATTGGTATCTCTATTATTTTTTATTGCTCTTACATGTATTTAATTTATCATCTATACAGTTGCATGTATTTAGTTCGAAGATTGGTGGTGTGTGTTCTTTCACTTTAGGTTGTCTTCCCTCAATTAGGGTTAGAGACCTCCTTAGTTTTGGCTCCTTGAAAGTTCCCTATTTAAAAAAATGTCACCTTTGTCATTTTTGTTCATACTTGAGGAAAACCACATGCTAATAGGGTTTCAAAATGTTTGACATACATATGTTAAGATTCACATGTTCATGGAGCTTCAAAAATGTTGGATAAATGGTTTGACGTACGTATGTAGTTCGGAATAACATGGTATGTTGTGAGTACTTGTTCCAGAACACCAAAGCTGCAAGGTCTACAAGTTAGTTAGTAGCATCCTAGTTCCTTCGGGTTCTGATTGATAGATTGCTTTGAGTCACTGTGATATTGGTATCTTAATTTAGTGTTTTAAAAAGCTTTCCCATGTTTGGTGTAATTCTTTGCTCTTGTATAACTGAGATGTATTTCAAACTCTAAGTTCTAGTTTTGGAAAGTAGAGGATATATGGTTCGATACTTGAGAAGAAATATATTGCTCCACAAGGTTCTTGAGGGAAACTTACGTAAATCTGGTTTTTATTTTTGTGAAATATATGGGGACAGAGATTTTATATCATAAGAATCCTTTTCCTTTATAGAATCTCTACTTCCGGTCTGGTGTTTCAGGGCTCTAGTTTTGGCTTACTCTTTGTTTTTGTTTTTAAATAAATTCTTCATATCCTGTAACAATTTTGATTTCATAAGCCTTTTTTTTTCTGAGGATGCTTTTTCTTTGCACGCATCTTAAGATGAGCTGAAACTTCTTACAATCTATTCTGGTATTTGTATGTTCTCTTGCTTATGTAGTGTGTTCTGTACACTGCACACAATGCATGAAATTACTTTTGTAATTTTTCTGACCCTGTGGTACTTGTGAATTGTAGCACTTTCACTCTTACAAAAGTGCTTAGCTGTGGAAATGGGGCATGCTACATCTTGTTAAAAGATTTTATGAGTCCACGGGTTTACCATGAGAAGGATATGGACCTCATAGTTCTTAAAAAACGTACACAATAGATTTGTTAAAAGTTTATTCGAGATAAGAATACGTTTCTTCATCTGATAAGTGTTGATGACTTAATATTATCATGGCATTTTCAACAAATAAGTGTTGATGACTTAATATTATCATGAGAATTTGAAAAATCAAGAGTTGATGAATTAATATTATCAGACACACTCTCCCCCCTCTGGCCTTCCGCAAAAAGAAAAAAAAAATATTGAAGCAACAATGTACAACAGAAACTGTGGCTGTGAGACAATGGGATCTGTATAGTCAGACTTCCTCTTACGGTTTGCTAAGTGTTTATGTAGTGTGCTGATTTTTTTGGCAGTAGATGTCCTAAAGTTTAATTTACTAGTTATGGCTATAAATTCCCTCTCTATTTTATGATAAAGCATCATACTTTGGTTGGGGGGGATCTGTTTTGAGTATTTGATGGTGTTAGATTTTAAATCTGCCTAAATTACTACTCTTTGCTCTTTTCATAAACTTCAGTAGTTTTTGTATATCTCTGTTGATTCTTATGCCTCCCTCCCTTTCGCAGCTTCTTGGTTACACTTGGTGGGAGAAAGATCATGATCTCTAGTAACATGATAAACTACTCGCCTGTTAAGCTTCTCTTACCCCCCTATTGTTGTTAATTGTTTTTTAGTATGTCAGTTGACTGAATATATAGAGTTCAATGAGTTTTAATGTGGGGCATATGCATAGATTTAAATGTATGTACACATTTAAATACATATACTTATTCCACGATACATGTTAATGCCCTTGTGCAGTTGTTGAGGAGTTGTATGTGCAAGATGATGGGAATATCAAGTCACTCAATAACTTGAAAATCACTTGGTTGAAGCAATCTGAGATCATCAAGGAGCCATATTTCTGTTCTTTGAGGAATTTACTATTATACTTCCCAGGGATTAGCTCCCTATGCATCACCGACTTGCTGCATTATATGCCCTGTAGAGCATTATAGCAGTTTTGTAACATCCTTTCTAGAATATATAAAAATTAAGAAATTGTTTCTAAAGTTGCTAAGAACCTAATCTTTAAGCGTTTCTTTTATTATTTTCAATTACAGGCTGTATCTCTGCAGATGAAAATGGGAACCGCCTCTTCCTTTCTGACAGCAATCATCATCGGATTATTGTATTTATGGAAACGGAACGATTCTGGACTCTGTATGTATGAAAGTTTATTTAAATCATGTGGACTGCTCTTGTAAATTTGCATCATTAAGCATCAAGTTATACGTCTACTGGTTATTGGCCGTTCAACATTCTAATCTGGTTCTGATTTGATGATTTTGTAGTCCAAATATGTTTATCAGGATTTTCTATATCTGCTTTGTGTGCTTTACGTATATCAATTCTGAATTAACACATCAAGAAGACAGCTTAGCTATGCTTTTCAGATACTGATTACCACTTTTGTCCTTAGCCATAATTTATGTTCATGATTTACTGAAGTGCTTAAATCAGGCATGAACATAAATAGAAATAACTTCAAGTTCCTCCCCATGTCAATGTATCGCAACTCATAATATTCAGAGTTGCTAGCTATACTCTTTAGGTAAACCCAACTGGCGAATTGCTCCGGTTCGAATTCTGAAACCGCAACACTGCAATTCAGAGAGAGAGAGAGAGAGAGTAAAAATGTCTGGATAGCTAGCATGGTCACAGACGTAGACTTGGATCAGAAAGCAGCTTCTCTCAGCCGTTCGATCCAGGATGTACGGCTCAGGGTCCCTTGCTTCTAATGCCGCTCTTGCTCTCCAATTGAATGCCCATTCCTGCACCCGCGAACAGGTTCGGTTTTCAGTTCTTGAATTTCTATGGCTTTATCTGGGTCGTTGCTTTTGATTGTGATTCTTTTAATTTCATGTCGTCTTGTTTTTCTTCATTGTTTCCCTTATATTTATAGGCACAAGCAGAAGGCCTGGTCAATGAAATTCATTTGAAAGAGACGGAGCTAGAAAGACTGAATGGGTTGTGGAGGAAGCTTGAAAGCAGCAACATGGAGATGAATATTGCTAGAAACTGGTTTGGACGAATCACATCTTTTAAAGGATCTGCTTCCTCTGATTATATTCTCATAGATGTGCCGACAGCCAAACAGAGACTCAGCGGAGGCTCATGCTGCTCAGGTACATTTTAGCTTTGCACATCTTGGCTTCAATAAGATCTCATTTTGAAGAGTGTCTGTGTTAACAATCTTTCTAAATTCCATTTTGTATGCTAAACAACCTGATGTGTCTTGTGTTGTATGAAAGGCTATCAATCAAGATCCCATATTCATACAATGATTTTTAACAATGTGAGTTCCAATATTTGTTTAGCCGTCAGAACAGGTGGGGCACTTGGGAAGGTTTTTTATTATTTAAAAATTGTATAGCCGCGCGGCTATACTATTTTTACATGTGGCAAAGTGGGGGCTAGGGCCACGTGTCAAAACGTAAAGTCAGGGGGATATGTAACGCCACGCGGCTATACTATTTTTAAATAAATTAGTTAAAACCGAGTATAGCCGTTCGGCCGTACTACTTTTAAGAAAAAATTTACAAATCCGAGTATAGCCCGGCTATACTGTTTTTAAAAAACCGGCGGCTATACCATTTGTATATATTAAAAAAGGGGGACCCGCCCAGCGCTTAAGGGTCATGTGCCACACGAGTACAGCCATGCGGCTATACTACGGCAAAGGCATAAAACAAAAGGACCAGGCTAAAATAAGTATAGCCGTGCGGGAATACTATTTTTAAAAATGGATAGCCGCCCGGCTATACTATATATAATATAAAAACACCAGGACAAAGCCTAGGCACCACGTGTTAAAAGTAAAGCCAACTGACTATAATATTTTTTTTAAAAGAAGAAAAAAAGGACCCGCCCAGCGGTTAGGGGCCCACGTGTCAAAATAAGTATAGCTGATCGGCTATACTATTTATAAAAAATAAAATTTAAAAATCGCGGCTATACGCAATGCTAGGCCCCACGTGTCGAAAAAGTAAAGCCAAACGGCTATACTATTTTTTAAAAAATTAAGGGAAAAACCGAGTATAGCCGCGCGGCCGTACTATTTTCTTAAAAAATTATTATAGATATTAATTTGCTAGTTTCAACATCCAAGGGTTCTAAACACTGTTCGGAAGGCCTTTCTGTATCCGTAGGAGGTGACAAACATTGTCATGTTGTCATGTTCGTGGTATGTCAGTGTCCGGAAGAACCATTGTCCTACTGAGACGATCGCATAGTCAAATTGTACTACCCGAGTTAGCCATGCATGCCTCGTCCAGCTCATCTAAGTAGAGGCTCATGAGGCTGTTACCTCTCAAATTGAAAGTGATGAGGTAAATTTTTCTGTCCATATATTTACCAGTTACCTAAGTAAGCATATGTGTTGTGTGGAAGCTTGGAAATATATAGGAAGATGACAGTCATTTGGTGCTTTCCAAGTTACAAAGACTACAATCTATCTGCAACTTTGAAGTAAGCTCTTCATCCTCTAACCCTATAAGGAAACTTGGTCACTAATTTGGAAACGACTGAGAATTTGACAAGGGCAGATCCTTTAAAGAAGCATATCAAATTAAACAAATATTTAGTCATCTAATCATAATTAATTGGTTTGAATTGTTGCTTAAGTATCAAATACATATCTGTGATTATTTTTAAAGAAATTGTAACTGACACAGAAGAAAAAAAGGGCCCACTCTCCACTTTGCTGAGAATGATGTAATGAATTTCTAAATAAGAATCTTAGCTGGAAAGCATGAGTTGAATAACATATGCTAGATTAACATAAGATATGACATTAGGGGGACGCGGGGCGCTCTATTAAAGGCAATTTTTTTCTTCCACTTGACGATAAGAGGGTAGGTTATTTATTTAAAATACATTTTAGAAGATTAAAAAATTTTGAAATAGGATTTTTGACATCCACTTGTCGGCACGTGATTAACTATATAGATTTCTGATTAGATTTTTTTCTCCACGTCGCGCCCCTAATTAAATATTTTGGTATTTGTAACTAATAATAATTGACAATACAGTGTCATGTTCAAGTCTTTGTCTTGTTTTAAAAACAACTTAAAAATTAATGTAAATAGAAAAAGATGGAGTATAGTTTGTAAAAGAATGAAGATGTTGTAAGAAATTATGTAAGAATGAGGTAGGTAAAAAAAAAAATAATAACAAAAAAAAAAAGGTGGCTGACGTCACCTAACAACTAGATGATGCCAACTGGGCTCCATCCAAATATTTAGCCCAGGTTGGCCAAAGATTGGCCTTTTGTGTAGCCTTTCCCTTTTTTTTGGTAGCCCTCACTTGAAGATGGTTATTGGGTATTTAGGGCTATAATTTAGGAATTGGCCCTCACTGGGAGATGACCTTAGTTAACAACGACCGAACCCTTGTATGAAGAGAGGCTTGCCTAAACCTTTAGGACATGGCCTGATTTTTTGTACTTGTTTCTACTCCTCTTATCAATAAAATACTACCTTTTTTTATTTTTTAATCTCAAAAAAGAAATGTTGCTAGAAAAGATTTATTTGGACAAAAAATACTTAAAAAGCCGTTACCAATCGGAAAGAAGAACTCCAGTCATGACAGAACATATGAAGTAAAATTTTCAAATTCTTATTATAAAAAAAAGAAAAGAAAAAGATGAGGGAAATTCATTAGTCAATCCGTATTTGTTTCATCCTCCGATTGTCTGTGATAGGTTGGTAAAAAGAAGGGCATCTTTAGGTTAGGTTTCAAATCAGTAAGCTATTAAAATAAGAATAAAATATAAAAACCTTGTCCTACTGCTTATCGCATTACTTTACTTATCCTAATCCTTATCAAATAACTAATCATTCGGGTTAAGTGAGTGGTCAACGTGGGAACCACAGACAAGCCCGAACCAATGTGCTTGTGGGCCATACCCACATCAAGAGATCCACTTATCCTTTATACCCCAACGGTCCAGATCACGCCACGTGGTCCAACAAAAGTCATACTGCCGACCCCGCACGCTATCCAATCCCTCTCTGTTTCTGATTCGACCACTGAACCTCTATCCAAAAACCTTCCATATATTCTTTTTCTTCTTCAAAAACCTCTCAATTTTCTCAGTCTCAGTCTCTCCACCCAATTTCAGCACCAGACATTGTTGATGGACCATTGTATCTCCCCGCTCTCAACCCTAAAGCCCCGCATAACGCCCCGTTTTGCTCCCAGGCCCGCCCTCCAGTCGGTGACCAGGCGGTTCAGGCCGTTGACCGTCGTCGTCGGAGCCGGGGCGAGTCACTGCGAGTTCAGCAGCCTCAACTCGCCACTCGACCCGAGGACCCGACCCGGAAAGGACCTCAGCACCGTTCTGCAAAACCACCCCCAGCTGTTTCACCTTGCGGTGGCTCAGGAGCTCAAGAAGTTGGCTGATGATCGAGAACTCGCCCTCTCTCGTATGTCTCTGAGCGCTGCCTCTCACGAGGCCTGCCTTCATAGGTTTTTTCCTATACCTCATCACTTTAAATTTTTTTAATTTAATTTTCCTGCGTTCAGGTCTTAATTCTTTGTGTTCATTCCTATTTCTTCTCATACAAATTCAAAATTTATGTTAGGTTCAAGCAATTTAACTGTTATACAAGAACTATAATCCAATCCCTCTGAGTGTTAATCTCTTAATGAGTACAAAATAGGTTTTTTTTTTTTTGTCAAATGAGTAAAAAACAGTAAGTTCAAATTTTCCATACTTTTTTCTTTCTTCAGTATTTCATAAGCAATTGTTTTGAACATAATGGGTTTTCAGTATATAGTAATTTGGCGCTCTATCAAGAGAATCAAGTGCTTCTCTGTAGTTTTCCGCGTGATATGAGTGATTCTCTGTAGAATGCTGTGTGATATGAGTTTTTCTACAAAGCCTTTTCTTTTTTGCTCTGTTTAAAAAAATTGTGTGTGGACGATGAACTTCTTCAATGATTGACTCACAGACTCTATGATTGACTGTGTTGGAGGATGGAGAGGTTCCCTTGTTGTTTCTTAGTTAGGAAGTCATTAGGTTTGTAAGGATGGCTAGATTGCCCTGAACTGGGCATCACTTAAGATTTTTGCCTGTCCTGAGAGAAACTATTCGCAGAAGTTTGTGTGATAAATAATGATATGTGAAAGCTCATTGAGGTTTCAGTTCATTAATAATGAATTTGTTGCTTATGTGCTATGTTGTTACCTTTTAAATTTGCCGGTGTAGGAAGCACCATGATGATCTTTGATTTGAGTAGGGCATTCTTGAATGCACTTGCTATGCCTAACATGCACTTTGTACCTGTGCACGTAGGCGGTGACTGCAGTAATGTTGCTGGGTGTTCTTGCCTAGCGACCCTTTTACTACCTTATTAGAGTAAGTAAATTGGTGAACTACTCCGTGGAATTCTTGGTGGGTTGAAGCTTTCGTATTTGGATTTTCCAATTAGATTTTCTTTAGAATCACATCTATTTCTTTGACTTAAGGTATTCTTGAATGTCAGGAGGATTGCGCAACTGAAGGAGCAGGAGTGCCAGATTGTTGTTGAAGATGTAATGTACCTGTTAATCTTTTACAAGTTTTCTGAGATCAAAGTTCATTTGGTTCCTAAGCTCTCTAGATGCATCTACAATGGGAGACTAGAGATATGGCCTTCAAAGGACTGGGAGCTAGAGTCCCTTTACAGCTTTGAGATTTTGGAGATGATAAGGGAACATGTCAGTACAGTCATTGGCTTGAGAGTAAATTCTAGTGTTACAGACAATTGGGCAATGACAAAGATCACACGTCAAATGCTTGGTCGAGTATACGTGGCCTCCATCTTATACGGCTACTTTTTGAAATCTGCCTCATTAAGACATTGTCTGGATCGGATTCTAGCTCTGGAAAGCCAAGACCTTCATCTGAGTCATAGAACCTCCCTTCACTATCAGGAGATGTGTCCTAATGGAATGAAAAATCTCCTCTTTGGTCGCATAGGCAACATTCAAGCGAATTATAAAGGGTCAAGTAGGTTGGAAAAGACACAAGGAAAGTTGAGTTGTTATGTGATGGGGTTTGATCCTGACACACTTCAGAGATGCGCAAAACTGAGATCTGAGGTGGCTGTGAATTTAGTTAAAAATCACTGTTGTGCTCTTTTTGGGGATGATGGGACCATGAATTCACCCGAGACCGATGAAGTTATCTCAACTTCATATTCAAGTGTGAAGAGGCTAGTTTTGGAGGCTGTTGCGTTTGGTTCTTTCCTTTGGGACACAGAAGAATGCATCGAGACAGTGTATAAGCTTAAGGAGAACTAACTAGTGGGTATGACAGTTTCTTTTGCCCAATATGGTTTGGGTGAAATTTTCTTTGTAAATAGCAAGGATCGTACTCTGCGTTTTTGGCTCCGCAGCCATGCAAGCCCCCAGTAATTTTCCGTTGTATAGTGTACATCATGATTATAAATAAAATATAGTTTTGATTCCTAGCCAATATTCAATGATTCTTGTTCTGTTCTTTTTATCAAATGGTAGAAATCATTCCAGATTCCTAGCATTTCCACCTATGAAACGTTGGATTTAGTACCTCTGAGTTGAAATGAGTGTAATGTTTTGAGGCTATTTGGTCATCGGCCTCTTCTTCTCTGGTTTCTTAATTAAATTAAATTGACTAGTCTAATTCCTGGTTTAGTACAAGTTTCCAAACAATGTCTTTTAAGGGAGTGAAACTCTCATGCAATGGCAGTAACACTTTTTACTATCCTGACCAATGACACAATGACACGGCTATCCCCGGCACAATGACACGTGGGATATTTTTCCCATGCGTCGATGGATCAAACCTTGTATAATGTGTCTTGACTTCGAGTAATCTAATGTAATATTAAAACTTGTCAGTTGTCAGTTTTGACACTCAATTCATATTTATTATAATTAAGTGTACCATGTAAACATCATTCTCTGGTGAAAAATAAATTAAATTCAACGATTTATTGTGTGAAAAGATGACAAGTTCTAAAGGTACTCCGGCTACGGCATCCGTGGCTGCAAGGCTTATGGATGCGGTTGTGTATGAAAGCTATGGTGGAGGGCCTGATGGTTTAGAGGTTCTTTATCCGTCTGCTAACTCCTGTTTGTTTCAGCTTTCTTTATCAGTGTTTTTGGGTAGAATTCTCTCATATTCTGGAGCTATCTTGGTAAATTGTTATATATGTTTTTTTGCAGCATGTTAAGGTTCCAATCCTCAGTCCTAAGAAAGACGAGGTTTTGCTGAAACTGGAAGCGGCTAGCCTGAACGCATCTGACTGGAAAATTCAGAAAGGCGTGTTTCGGCCTCTTTTGCCAAGAAAATTCCCTTTCATACCTGGTAATTCTGTTTTGCCTTTGGTCTGTATTTTCGTATTGAACATTCCTCAGTGATCTTTGCTTGTGAAGCAAAAACCAATAGATGAGTGAACAAAAAGTCAGTCCAAAAACATGCATCATGATAGCAATCAGTCCAAAAACATGCATCATGGTAGCAACCAAACCTCTGCTTCTATCCCAAACAATAGTCGATTGGGCTAATTTATCTGTCTAATATAGTTAATTGATTCATCGATTCGTAAATATAAAAATGAGCAATGTTGTTGGGTAGATGGATTAGCTGGAGAATTAGTTGTTTTCTGATTTATGCATTCATTTGGATTGTTAACTTTGGCTGATATTATCCGGAACAGCTGTTGATGTGGCTGGAGAGGTTGTAGAGGTTGGACAAGGAGTTGAAAAATTTAAAGAGGGCGACAAAGTTGTGGCAATGCTAAACTTTATAGTAAGTTTCAAATATATAAATTCATTTTTTTTTTACTGACATATATACTATCAATAAAGCCTCACTTTGTGTTTGATGTGATTTTACACATATTGACAGAATGGAGGTGGATTAGCTGAGTTTGCCATAGCTAGTGGACATTTATAACATCTGCTAGGCCCCCAGAAGTTTCAGCAGCTGAAGGTGCAGGCTTGCCTAGTTCCGGCCTCACAGCTCACCAGGCTCTCACCAAAGCTGCAGGGATCAAGCTTGATGGAACTGGCCAGCTCAAGAACATACTGATCACCGGCGCCTCTGGTGGTGTCGGGCACTATGTAGTCCAGCTAGCCAAGCTTGGAAACACTCATGTTACTGCCACTTGCGGTGCTTGTAACATTGACATTGTCAAGAGCCTAGGGGCAGATGAGGTTCTTGACTACAAGACCCCTGATGGGGCTGCTCTCAAGAGACCATCCGGTCGAAAATATGATGTTGTGATCCACTGTGCATCAGCAGGCATTCCTTGGTCGACTTTTGAGCCGAATTTGAGTGCAAATGGGAAGGTTATAGACCTTACTTCCAGGCCAAGTACCTGGATCACTATTGTTCTGCAGAGACTCAGCTTCTCCAGGAAACAGCTGGTGCCATTGATCATAAATCCCAAAGGTGAGAATCTGGACAATCTTGTTGAGTTGATGAAGGAAGGAAAGCTCAAGACTTTGGTTGACTCAAAGCACCATCTGAGCAAGGCTGAAGATGCTTGGGCTTGGAAAACTGATGGCTATGCTATTGGGAAGATCATTGTGGAGACTTAAGAGTTAAGAGTAAATATATTGGGATTTTATAAACTTCAGTTCTTACTACGAATCCAGGCTCATTTTGCTCTTTCTAATCAGCACCTCCCTTATTAGCCCAGGAAAATCTTTAAGGATGACAACAACAATGTGCATTTTTCTGAGGTCTGTTTAGAACCACACTAACTGCAATGAGAGATCTAATAGAGGCCATCTCTATCTATCATTAAAACAATCGACTGCACAAGGAAAACATTTCGAGTATTGCTGCAGTGAACTTGCAATTCAGTTCAGAGGGTCCCCTGAAATCCAACAGAGACTCCAATGGAGCTCAAGACAAAATACAAAAGAATGTGCCTTAACTCATGATGCCCTGAAACTAAAGATCTCAAGGCCAACTACGGCCCTACAAAGAATTGATCAAAATGGCCTAAGTTCTAAAAAAGCTGAAGCTAGCCAAATTTGAGTGCAAATGGGAAGGTTATAGACCTTACTTCCGGCCCAAGTACCTTGATCAATTGTGTTCTGCAGACACTCAGCTTCTCCAGGAAAGAGCTGGCGCGATTGATCATAAATCCCAAAGGTGAGAATCTGGACTACCTCGTTAACTTCATGTGCAATAGAAGAATATTGTACTAGCAATGTGTGGTTATCTTTTGACAGTAAATCAGATGTGTGAGGCAACTCTTATCTTGAGTGTACAATTTGAACTTGTGGAATTGATGCTTACAAGTTACAGCATGCAGTGCAATAATATTTGATGAAATCTTGACTCTGCAAGTAACTTGTAAATAGGTCAAGATTGCTTTCTCCAAAAGCATCTTGCAAGTTTAAAAACTCCCAGTTCAAATGATTTTATTAATGTGTCATATGCATTTTTAACGTAATATTAAATTTGGGTTCTATTGCAATTATCCTTACAATTATGCTGTTAATTACAATTATTTTGTGAACATCTGTCTTTTCGAATCAAGTATACGCTTTAGTGTTATTATATGAATAATGCACCAATTTGCAATTACTAGTCAACTTTGACAATTGTCAGACCAAAAAAGAAAAAAACTTTGCAAAATTATAGCAATGGTCCCTCAAATAAGACCTCACTTCACTTTTCGTCTCTCAACCCAAAAAATTGTTATGGTCATCTTTCATTTAGATATCACATTGCACCACTCAGTCCTTCCTTCAATTCCGTTAAATTTTCTGTCAAAATTAAGGGCAAATTGAGAAATTCATATCAAATTTTAAGGGCAAATAAGACTTTTACCTAGTCACCACCTCATTCTACCCAAACCCAACTACAACTCTCTCTCTCTCCAATGAATCCTTTGGGGTTTTGTTTATATTGTTCAATCGATTGAGGAAGACCAATCGATGAAAAAGGTTGGGAGGATGAGGGGGTTGATGAACAGAGGAAGGAAGAAAATGAGAGAAGGAGAGAGTGGGTCGAGGTCGGAGTGGGTCTGTGGGGGTGGGTCGGCGGCGAATTTGTGGGGTTAGGTCTGTGAAGGGTGGCTGGAGGAGAGAGAGGGAGAGAAAGGTGGTTGTTGGGGTGGGGGGGAGATGAGGGACTAAAAGTAACCACTGCTATATTTTTGCCAAATTTTTTTGACACATTCTAATCACCTGCCTAACGGGTTTTTGCGGGCCTGTGGTATGACATGTTTGTGTCGAGTGAAAATTAGCTCAATCTGAATATGCCAGTTAAGCACGACTAAGATAAATAACGAATAACACAACATGACCCTTTTTACCCATTAAATTTGTTAACCATAGTCGTAAGACCACGTATGGGGGCTGATGCCATTTCTTGAAATCTCTTCTGGGTTAATTGTCATTTTGGATTTTGGAAGTTTCTTCTGAAAATCAGTTGAATTCTGTACACAAATCTTTTTCAACATGTTCACCCGAATGAAGGCAAAAAATAGATGCTCAAGTGTTGAGCAATCATGGAACACTTTAATTACATGTAACAGTAATTCAGACATGTTTCTGTTTCTCCATTGCTTGCATTATAAGGTAACAAATAAAGTTTGATTTAATCTTGGATCCAAAACCGCAGATTAATACTTAGTTAATTGTGTTTTGGGTAAGCGATATATGAATTTGAATTTAATTGATTCAATTAATTACTATTTTCTTTAGCTTTAGTTAGAATCAGTCATTGAAAAAGTTCCATTCTTATTTCTTAATGAGTTCGAAATTTCCCAGAAGCTGATATACAACAATTGCTTCTTATAAAAATTACACGCAAACAAATTAAACTAATATGGGTTTCCCATTTCACCGGTAAACAATTAACATGGCGTATAAGCTATAACCTTTGTGACCTCAACTCTGTTAAGGTTCAATCAAACACGTGCATATATATAATCTCTGCTGCCTGCAAAAAGACTCAAACCAATCAGCAAAAATGGTTGTGTTCCTTTTCAAACTCATCTTCTTTGCATTGAGCTTCGTATCGAGCTTGGTTTTGGGCTTGATCTTCTCTGCTGCTGCTCGTGTTCTAGTATTATTAATCCATGGATTCAGAGCACCAGGCCTAGCCATCCATGGCACATTACAACAAGTCACAGAGGTCATCAGGTCATGTTCTGAGTACTTTGTGGGCCTTGTATTGGAAGCAATAAGTGCTCTAGTCTCAGCTTTCTTTGATTATCTAAAACAAAGTGTCACAGGGTCTGCTGGAGTTACCACTTCTGCAATTGGAGATCTCATGGAGAAAACAAAGACTTCGCTTGAATTGCTTGACGGGTTGCTCACTGATTTCCCAGAGGTTTCTGAGATGATTTTTACCATGGTGGCTGATTTGTGGAACAATTGCAGGGATGCTTTTGGATATGTTGCGGAGAATGCTTGATTATTTTTGTACATACCTCTTCAATTGGTTGTAAAAATGTGTAAGAACAAATGTGTATAACATTTGAGATCATCATACCAACTAATACTGTCTTAGATTACTAGAAAAGGTATAGGAAGAACCAACTTTGCAGGTAATTCGTTGTATTTTATGCTATGTGTGGGGGTTAACTTGAACCCCCATGTTACATTGGAGGAGTGCTACAGTCAATCATTCACCCGCTTAAGTGATTTCTAACCATAAATGCATGTGGATTCTACTACAGGGTCTACATAAATTAACATCTAGAAATAGTAGCACTAGATTCACGGTCGTACTTGATTGCTTGTATGTGTGAGGATTTGTCAGTGCAATGTGAAGATGGCCCAAGTATGAGACCAAATTACAAACATAGGATATTCAATTGTTAGCTTTGTTCTCTCTGTGTTCTTGTTTTATATGTATGATTTGGAATATAATTTTCCTAACATTATTTTATACTATGAAATTACCCTTTAATCAAACAAATTGCTCAAACCTCAACGTTGACTTATTAAGCAAACCAAAGTTATGGTAGAGGAGATTCTGGAATATAGTCTGCGGCTGGGTTAGATTTTGCTTGATGACCAAGTCAAGCCCTATAGATACATATAGAACAACAAGTTCTGAATACAATGGCTTTATTCTAAATCTGTTATTATTTTATATGTGATTGAACTACTATTTTCATAGATTACTGTACTGACAAATCAAAAAGTTCAATTTTGTAAATGAGATAATCATCAATCACACAAAGGTTGCAATACAACAATTTTGAAGGTTGACTTCTCATGCGGCACGAAGTTTTCCAACAATTTATAAACTGAGCAAATTGCAGTATAATATATGCAGTTCACATGATGGGGGGCGTTGGTATATAGATAGGGTTCACTTGGTGGTGCATTTAAAAAATTTCTCCCTCACAATTCTCACCCTCTGAGTCTCGGAGTTTGGCAGCCATGGCGGCAAAGCTTATGCATGCGGTTCAGTACAAAAGCTATGGTGGAGGACCTTTTGGTTTAAAGGTTCCTTGTGAATCTGCTCCTTTTCTTTATATTTTTTTTACCAATGCTTTTGTAGGATTCCTGGATTTTTGTTTTTTGTTTTTTTATTTTTGCTTCTGACATCTTAGTTTCACATTTAGTTATTTTAAGAGTTTACTGCATAAAAAATATGTCTGATATTAATATGCTAAAGAGAAAGTGTATCATGGTTGATCTGAACTTGTGGAAATACTTTTTGGTGCTGTGAATATGTAGTTGTTTGTGCTGCTTGCTTAAAGAGCAATACAGCCATGGGACGGGGCTTTTAAGACTTTGAGACATTGGACTACTTGTTTCTTTTAGACTTTGTTCTATATTGTTAGCCTTGCTTGGTTTTTCTGGTTTTCTTTGTCCTTCCCTGTATTGGTTTCTTGCTGTTTTGGAGCTGCCTTAGTAAACTGTTATATGTGTTGTTTTTGTTGCAGCATGTTGAGATTCCAATCCCCTCTCTGAAGAAAGATGAAGTTTTGCTGAAAACAGAAGCAGCTAGTCTGAATCCAAGTGATTTTAAAATTCAGAAAGGCCTGGTGCGCCCTTTTATCCCACGCAAATTGCCTCACACACCTGGTAACTCTCTTTTTCCAGTGGTCTGCACTTAACAATTTTTTCTTTGCTGGACAATGCCTTGTTAGTATGTCAGATTTATGCTTATTCGACATTTGTAAACAGAAATTAGGACACAACAGCACATACTGGCTTGTAATTGAGAGTTACTGAGTGAATAACTTTTCAGTCCACGAACATGTTAGCAAACCATCGTCCGCTTATGCTGCCCCAATCAGTGGTAACTATAAAAATAAACAATTTTAAATGCTTTTTGGGTACCCATATGAGCAACTACAAAGATGACATCAGTTTTGTGATTTATGCATTCAGTGTCTTCGAATCTTAGGCCGGTTGGTTGATTTGTTAACGTTAACTTTGGCTGATGACATTATGGGGAACAGTTACCGACGTAGCCGGAGAGATAGTAGAGGTTGGACAAGGAGTCAAGAAGTTCAAAGTGGGAGACAAAGTTGTGGCATTACTGAGCTTTGGTGTAAGTGCTCATTTTATTCCAATCACGATGCCTTGGTTGAAGATATAAAACTTCTGTTTCTGTTACTGATCATATGAACTGTTGCATGTTGATAGAATGGAGGTGGACTGGCTGAGTTTGCTGTAGCTAAAGAGAAACTAGTAGTTGCTAGGCCTCCTGAAGTTTCGGCAGCTGAAGGTGCAGGCTTACCTATGGCTGGTCTCACAGCTCACCAGGCTCTCACCAAGGATGCAATGATCAAGCTTGATGGAACTGGCCAGCTGAAGAACATACTGATTACTGGTGCCGCCGGTGGTGTTGGTCTCTATGCAGTCCAACTAGCAAAGCTTGGAAACACTCATGTTACAGCCACCTGTGGAGCTCGGAACATTGAATTGGTGAAGAGCTTAGGGGCAGATGAGGTTCTTGACTACAAAACACCTGAAGGGGCATCCCTGAAGAGCCCGTCAGGTCGAAAATATGATGTTGTGATCCACAGTGCATCATCAGCCATTCCCTGGTCAGTCTTCGAGGCAAATTTGAGTGCAAGAGGGAAGGTAATAGACCTTACTATTGGTGCAAGTAATCTGTTTACTTTTGTTCTGAAGAAAATCACTTTCTCCAAGAAGAAGCTGGTGCTACTGGCTATAAGTGCCAAGGCTGAGAACTTGGATTGTCTTGTTAAGTTGGCCAAGGAAGGAAAACTCAAGACAGTAATTGACTCAAACTACCCTCTGAGCAAGGCTGAAGATGCTTGGGCTAAAAGAATCAATACCCAATGCACTGGGAAGATCATTGTGGAGCCTTGAGTAGACAAAATTTCCTAGGATTGTAAACTTCATGAAACTTTTTGCAATTGTAGTAAACCTCATTTACAAAAGAATAAAACCTCATGTACAAAAGAATAAGGTATTTAATAGTGTGTGGATTTTTCTTTTTCTTTTTGGTTTTATGCGTCATTGGATATTGTAAATGAGAAGTTTGGGACTAAATGTTCATTTTCAACTGTTAGTAGTATTTGACAGTATTTCAGATGTTTCTGTTGCTCCATGGCTTACATTATGTGTGAGACAACTCATAATTACTTAGTTGCAAACACCCACTTGATTGAATTATGTTTTGGGTAAGACTCTCTCTCATTTGACTCTCAAAGTCAAGGGAGTGGATTAATTTATAAGCAGATATAAGATAACTATCCACAGACGTGGAAATCCCAGCAACATAACTTTGAAAACCCTTTTTTACTTAATTAATTAGTATTATCTTTAGTTAGAATCAGTCTCTAAGAAAGCTCCAATGTTATTTCTTAATGACATTGAAATTTCCCAGAAGATGGTGATACAACAACTGCTCCTTATAAAACTAGAACAGACAAATTAAACTAATGGTCCCATTTCATTAGTAAACTTGTGACCTCAACTCTGTACACACATATATATATATATATAACAAACCAAGTTGTTTCCTTCACTGCTTGCTATCCCAAGACTCAAACCAATCAACAAAAATGGTTGTGTTCCTTCTCAAACTCATCTTCTTTGCATTGAGCTTCATATCGAACTTGGTTTCGTGGTTGATCTTCTCTGGTACCGCCCATATTCTGGTGCTGTTGATCCATGGATTCAGAGGACCAGGCCAAGCCATCCATGGCACATTACAACAAGTCACAGAGGTCATTAAGTCATGTTCTGAGTACTTTGTGGGCCTTGTAATGGAAGCAATAAGTGCTCTAATTTCTACTATCTTTGATTATCTAAAAGAAATTTTCACAGGGTCTGCTGTAGTTACAACTTCTGCGATTGGAGATCTCATGGAGAAAACAAAGACTTCACTTGATGGGTTGCTCACAGATGTTCCAGAGGTTTCTGAAGGGTTGTCTGAGATGGTTTTTACCATAGTGGCTGATTTGTGGAACAATTTCAAGGATGCTTTTGGATATGTTGCAGAGAATGCTTGATTATTTGCAAATACCTCTTCAATTGGTTGTAAAAGATGTGTAGCTCATAAAGTATATGAACAAATGTGTATCAATTTTGAGATTTCGAAAAGCATCATGCCAACTAAAAATCTGTCTTAGATTACTTGAAAAGGTATAGGAATAACTAATAAATAATTAAGAACCATTTTTTGTGGGTAATTTGTTGTATTTCATGCTATGTGTGAGGGTCTCCCATGTTGCCTCAGAGGAGTGCTACAGTCAGTCACACACTTAGGTCATAGAAGCGCGTGGATTTACAATAAGGCCTAGATACATTAACAGCTCGAAATTAGGAACACGCGATTGACCGTAGTATTTTTTAGGGCAATGATTTCCCCACTCTTATTTTATCCACTTACACTCCTTTTTTAGTTATAAAAAAGTAGTGTAAGTGGATAAAATAAGAGAAAAAGGAGTGAGGAAATCACCACTCATTTTTTATTGCACTGCTTATATTTGTGATTATTTGTTCAGTACAATGTGAAGCTGCCTCATATATGAGACAAAATTACACTTAGGATATTCAATTGCTTTCTTTAATTAATCTCTCTGTGTTCTTGTTTTTTTATGTATGATTTGGAATATAATTTTTATAGCATTATTGTACTGTGGAGAGTTCAATTTTATACTATGAAATAATCCTTAATCAAACAAAATGCTCAAACCTCATCGTTGACTTCTGAGGAGAACCAAAATTTTCTAACAATTGATAAATTCAGCAAGTCACAGAATAACAATTGATGGTGCCGCAAAAATTTCATTCTCACCACTCTCATTAATCTCTCTGTCTCCGATAATGGCAGCCATGGCGCCCAAACTTATGCATGCAGTTCAGTACAACTGTTATGGTGGAGGAGCTTATGGTTTAAAGGTTCTTTATTTATCTGCTCTTTTTGTTCTATTTTCCATCACTATTATATTTTGAGAGAGAATGAACCACCAGCAAGGAAATGTTTCATAGTAGAATTGAAGTTGTGAAAAGATTTCTTGGTGCTGGAAATATGTACTTGTTTTGTTTTGCTGATTGCTTTAAAAAGCAATTAAGCCAAGGGACTTTGAGACTTTTGAGACATTTCTAGTTGTCTCTGCTAATATGCCCTTATTTGTTAAATTAAGCAATGTTGGCTAAAATTGGTTGGAGAATTTGTCAGATGGATGAAGGTCTCTGGGTTAGGCAAAGTATCTGAAAACCCTCTTCTGGATGACAATTTAAAGATGCCCAAGGATGCCTCATAGATTTTTATATATGTTTGTTGCAGCATGTAGAAGTTCCATTGCCCACTCCAAAAAAAGATGAGGTTGTTCTGAAATTGGAAGCAGCTAGTCTAAATCCATCTGATTGGAAAATTCAGAAAGGGATATTGTGGCCTGTTTTCCCAGGCAAATTCCCTCACATACCTGGTAATTCTGTTTTGCTTGTGGTCTGTAAAGATGAATATAGTTTCTATTCTATGCAGAAAAAGATGAGTTGTTCTGTAATTTATGTGCATAAGATGTCTTTGAGTCATAGGCAGGTAGGCTGGTTTGTTAAGTTTGGCTGATGAGATTGTCGAAAACAGTTAATGATGTTGCTGGAGAGGTTATAGATGCCGGACAAGGAGTCAAAAAGTTCAAAGAAGGTGAAAAAGTTGTGGCATTGCTAAACTATTTTGTAAGTGCTCAATTTATTCCTTCTGGTTAGAAGTTTCACATACAAAACTCATGTGTTTATTTCTGATTTAATCTCTGCCTTGCTTTATCTCTGTTGTCATATTATATATTTTGAAAGAATGGAGGTGGATTGGCTGAGTATGCTGTGGCTAGTGAGAGATTGACAGTTTCTAGGCCCCCTGAAGTTTCAGCAGCTGAAGGCGCGGGATTACCTATTGCCGGTCTTACAGCTCTCCAGGCTCTCACTCAAGCTGCAAATATCAAGCTTGATGGAACTGGTGAGCTCAAGAACATACTTGTTACCGCTGCCTCTGGTGGTGTAGGTCACTATGCAGTCCAACTAGCAAAGCTTGGAAACAACCATGTCACAGCCACTTGTGGAGCTTGGAACATTGATTTGGTGAAGAGCTTAGGGGCAGACGAGGTTCTTGACTACAAGACCCCAGAAGGAGCAGGTCTTAAGAGTCCATCTGGTCGAAAATATGATGCCGTGATACACTGTGCAACCGGCACTCCTTGGTCAAGTTTTGAACCTAATTTAAGTGCAGAAGGGAAGGTTATAGACATTACTTTCGGTCCAAGCGCCTTGCTTACTTTGGTACTAAACTCACTCACCTTCTCCAAGAAGCAGCTGGTGCCGCTGCTCATGAATCCCAAGGCTGAGAACCTGGAGTATCTTGTTAAGCTGGTAAAAGAAGGAAAACTCAAGACAGTGATTGACTCAAAGCATGCTCTAGCCAAGGTTGAAGATGCTTGGGGTAAAAGTATAGATGGGCATGCTATTGGGAAGATTATTGTGGAGCCTTAAGTAGATAAAGTATCTTCGGATTGTAAACTTCATGTACTTATTTTGGGATTGTATAGTTCTAATCTCTGTTTTTCTTTGATTTTGTAAAAGAAAGGAAAGAAAATTTCAAGGAGAAAACAAAGACTTGGCTTGATGGGTTACTCACAGATTTCCCAGAGGTTTTTTATGGTTTATCTGATATAATTTCTACCATGGTGACTAACGAACATTTACAAGGATGCTTTAGGATATGAGAATGCTCTGATTATGTGTAAATACCTCCTTAATTGGTTGTAAAAGATGTTTGCATCATAAAATATTAATGTACCAATAGTCCTTTGCAAATTAAGAATAAGAACAAGAACTAATGTTTATTAATTCTGAGTTAGATTTTGCTTGGCAAACAAGCCAAGCCATTGTGGATAAATATGCAATATAGAACAACAAATTCAGAATACAATTGCTTTATTCTCTTGTGTTCTTATTTTATATGTGATTGGAATAAAATTTTCATAGAATTATTAAATTATTAAATCAAGTTCAAATTTGTAAACTATGAGACAATCATAATCAAACAAAATGCTCCAATATTATTCCTCATAGGTTGACATTTGAGGAGCACAATAGTTTATAAACTCTACACGTTACAGTATAATATATGGCAGTTCACATGATGTTTTCATTGGTATAAATGTATTGCATTGTCACAGCAAAAACTTGTCTCTCACAATTCTAGCATTCTCTGTCTCCGAGTTTGGAAGCCATGGTGGCAAAGCTTATGCATGCAGTCCAGTACAAAAGCTACGGTGGAGGACCTTCTGGTTTAAAGGTTCTTAGATTACATGCTCCTTTTCCTTCATGTGTTCTGCCAATGTTCTTGTAGAAGTCTTTGAATTTTTATTTCTTTTTGCTTCTGACATTTTCTATTCTATTCGTCTCAATTTCAAATTGAGTGCATCAAAATATGTTCGAAATTGAGATCCTAAAAAGGGAGAGAATTTACAACCAGTGAAAAATGTTGAGCTGAACTGGTGAAGAGAGTTGCTTGTGCTGCTTGCTTTAAAGAGAAATGGGTTTAAGACTCTGAGACACTGTACTACTTGTTTCTTGCTGTTTTGCAGCTTGCTTCTTTTAGGCCTTTTGTGTTCCTTGTCTATGTCTAGAGTTATACCTTAATCAACTGTTATACTTTTGTTATGTTTTGTTGCAGCATGTTGAGATTCCAATCCCCACTCCGAAGAAAGACGAGGTTTTGCTGAAAGTGGAAGCAGCAAGTCTAAATCCAGGTGATTTTAAAATTCAGAAAGGCATGGCACGGCCTTTTCTCCCAAGCAAATTACCTCACACTCCTGGTAATTCTCCTTTGCCGGTGGTCTGTACTTCACAATTTTTTTTTTTTTCTGGTATACATGTCAGATATACGCCTATGTGACATTAGTAAAAAATTAGGCTGACAGTTCATATTGTGTTTCATATATGTCTCATTTACATTTGATTCATACGTGGAAGTCTTGGTTGGGAGTGAGTTTTGAGGCAGATGGATTAGTTGGATTCTGAAACAAATATTGTTCCTAAGCTGAAAAATGATGACCTGTTTTATGATTTCTGCATTCAATATATGTTCAAGTTTTAGGCTGGGAGGCTTTTGATTTGTTATCTCTGGCTGATGATGGCATTATGGAAAACAGTTACTGATGTGGCTGGGGAGATTGTAGAGGTTGGACAAGGAGTTCAAAAGTTCAAAGTTGGTGACAAAGTTGTGGCCTTACTTACTTACAGTGTAAGCACCACTCACCTTTGCTTGAAGATATACTTGTGTATGGTTAAAAGTTTAACAGATAACATTTATCTGCTTCTTAATTTTAGGCCTCATTTTTTTGTCTCTTGTCATAGAATGGAGGTGGGCTGGCTGAGTTTGCTGCAGGTAAAGAGAAATCAGTAGTTTCTAGGCCACCTGAAGTTTCAGCAGCTGAAGGTGCAGGCTTGCCTGTTGCTGGTCTCTCAGCTCACCAGGCACTCACCAAAGCCGCAGGGATCAAGCTTGATGGAACTGGCCAGCTCAAGAACATACTGATCACTGGTGCCGCCGGCGGTGTTGGTCTCTATGCAGTCCAACTAGCAAAGCTTGGAAACACTCATGTAACAGCCACTTGTGGAGCTAGAAACATTGCATTGGTGAAGAGCTTAGGGGCAGATGAGGTTCTTGACTACAAGACAACTGAGGGGGAATCTCTTAAGAGCCCGTGGGTCGAAAATATGATTTCGTGATCCACAGTGCATCCGCAGCCATTCCTTGGTCAGTTTTTGAGCCAAATTTGAGTGCAAGAGGGAAGGTCATTGACCTTACTCCTGGTGCAAGTTCCTTGTTTGCTTTTCTTCTAAAGAAAATCACTTTCTCCGAGAAGAGGCTGGTGCCACTGATGATAAATGCCAAGGCTGAGAACTTGGATTGTCTTGTTCAGTTGGTGAAGGAAGGAAAACTCAAGACTGTGATTGATTCAAACCATTCTCTAAGCAAGGCTGAAGATGCTTGGGCTAAGAGAATCAATAGCCAATGCACTGGGAAGATCATTGTGGAGCCTTAGGCAAAATAGCTTGGGAGTTTAAACCTCATGATTTATGTATTTATTTTGGGATTGTATTAAAATTCATGTGCAACAGAATAAGGGTGTTATTCATGATTGGATATTGTAAATGAGAAGATTTGGGATAAATGCTCCTTTCCAACTGCTAGTTTTATTTGGGATATTAATTAGAATATATCACTAATCAAACAAAATGCTCAAACACCACACTATTAATCATGATCATTGTTGCAATGTGTGCTAGGTCAATTGGGCAGGACAATTGCTCATGTACACCCAAGTTTGAGTTCCTCAGCTCGTAAACAGATTAATTTATTCGTATAAATTATCACTTGTATTTTTTTTATAAAAAAATAATCATCATCATGACTTCTCAAGCAAACCAAGTTCTGGTTTATAGCATCGGACACAATCCAATTATTCTACTTTTTGTATTATATATAACTAAATAAATAAAAAGAAACAAAAAATAAAACGAAGAAAACAATGAGCGTCCTTAGTGTTTGTCATTTATGCGACATGGGGTACCATAAAACTCAGGGAACCCAATTTCAGAAATCTCGCAACTCTGTCTCTCTCTGTCAATCTGTCTCTGTGTATAATCAGCCATGTCGGCCAAGCTTATGCATGCAATTCAATACGACAGCTATGGTGGAGGACCTTCTGGTTTAAAGGTTCCTTCTTTATCTGCTCCTATTCTTCTTTTAGTTTCCATCAATCTAATTTTTCTTGGATTAACAGCAATAAAGGAGCAACTTTTTACAAATTGTTATGTAAATGTTATGTTTGTTGCAGCATGTCGAGGTTCCAATCCCAACCCCGAAGAAAAATGAGGTCTTGCTGAAACTGGAAGCAGCCAGTCTAAACCCAGTTGATTGGAAAATTCAGAAGGGGCAGTTGCGGCCTCTCTTCCCAGGAAAATTCCCTCAAATACCTGGTAATTCTGTTTTGACTCTGGTTTGTGATTGTTTTTGTTTTTGTTGACATTTGTAATGAGTGCATAATTTTTCAGTCTTGTGCATAAACATGTTGGTAAACAGGCTTCTGCTTATCCCAACTTACAGTTAATTCTGAAACTTACGCATCGATTTTCGTCTTCTTATGGTGAAACACATGACTTGTTTTGTGATTTGGTTGGTTTGTTAATGTTGGTTGGTGGCATTATGTGGAACAGCAACTGATGTGGCTGGGGAGATTGTAGAGGTTGGACAAGGAGCCAAAAAGTTCAAAGTGGGTGACAAAGTTGTGGTATTGCTCAGCCATTTTGTAAGTGCCATTTTATTCCTTCGCTTGTTTCTGATTAGGATTTCTTCCACATGTCAAATTCATGCTCTTGGTACTTAATGATGTCATATATGCCTCACAATATGTCTGTTGTGATATTACATATTTGATAGAGTGGAGGTGGACTGGCTGAGTTTGCTTCAAGTAATGAGAGATTCATGGTTGCCAGGCCAGCTGAAGTGTCAGCAGCTGAAGGTGCAGGCTTACCTGTTGCCGGCATCACGGCTCACCAGGCTATCACCCAATCTGCAGGGATCAAGCTTGACGGAACTGGCAAGCAGAAGAACATATTGATCACTGCTGCCTCTGGTGGCGTTGGACACTATGCAGTCCAACTAGCAAAGCTCGGAAACACTCATGTCACAGCCACCTGTGGAGCTCGTAACGTCGAATTGGTTAAGAGCTTAGGAGCAGATGAAGTTCTTGACTACAAGAACCCGGATGGGGCAGCTCTGAAGAGCCCGTCTGGCAGGAAATATGATGCTGTCATCAACTGTGCAACCGGCATTGCTTGGTCAACTTTTGAGCCTAATTTGAGTGCAAAAGGGAAAGTTATAGACATTGCTCCAAATGCAAGTTCTTTCACTACATTTCTTTTAAAGAAACTCACTTTCTCCAAGAAGTCCTTGGTGCCATTGCTCATGATCCCCAAGGCTGAGAGCTTGGATTATCTTGTTAAATTGGTGAAGCAAGGAAAGCTCAAGACGGTGATCGACTCAAAGCATCCTATAAGCAAGGCTGAAGATGCTTGGGCTAAGAGTATTGATGGCCATGCTACTGGGAAGATAATTGTGGAGCCTTAGGTAGCCAAAATATTATATCTTCAAATTGTGAAGTACATGTAATTTTATATTAAGAATTGTAAACTTCATATACTTCTTTTGGGACTGTAAATTTCATGTGCATTAGAACAACGTATTAATACTTTGTGCCTTTTTCTTTATTTTGTTGAGAAATTCAAGAGTTGTAAGGTATTCTTGAGTGAAATTAGGCTTCGATACTAATACGAGCTCATGAGTAGAGCTTTCCCCTAAAAATCGGTTTGTGAAAATTTGATTCAAAGCGGCAATCAGAACTTGGAAAAAAATGAATAAATTTTTTGATTCAATTGTCAACCTACACATCATAAAATCAAAACTTTTGGAGACTTTAGAAAAGACAGAAGGAGAGAGAAATTTTTTAAAATAAGCCAAAATAGACAAAATTGCCCTCAAGTAATCCTTTACATTTGCATGTTTTTAATTTGAAAGTTGAGAGGTTTTTCTGTCTTTTTTTAAAAAGTTTTGGCTTTTTCTAAAAGTGAAATTTTTTTTGTGGCTAAAACTTAAATTTACTCAAAACTTTCGGGGAGCACAGTCTATAGCATACATAAAAAATGACAGGGTATTTCCGTCATTTTAATTAATATTACAGTTGGCAACTTGAGATGCATCCACGTGTGGTATACGTCAAAGGGCCGCTACGTCAAAACCATTCCACAAGAATCTAGTAACGCTTCCTCTCTCTCTCTCTGTCTCTCTCTGTTCAAATCTTGGATCTTTCCTTTCTCTTCTGTCTCTGCCGACTCAGGTTATGGCAGCATCCATGGCGTCGACGCTTATGCATGCGGTTCAGTACGACAGCTACGGTGGAGGAGCTTCTGGTTTAAAGGTTCTTTCTTTTTCTACTTGTTTACTCTCATCTTTCATTCCT